CTCCTTCATATTGAAATTTCAGGTGTGTTGATACTTGATAAAGTAGATAATTATGAAAACATAAATAAAATCTTTGATGGATCAAAAATATAATTATTTATATTCTGGTATAGTTTTGGATACTGTTAGGATTTTATAATGCATTTGCATTCAAAAATACATAAACAAAAGCTATGCAATAGAGATTATACGTTGTGAACTTTTGGGCTATTAGTTTGGTGAGATTATTGGATCTGTCTGCTTGATAGTCAGGATGCTTGGGTTTGTTGAACTACGACACATTCTTTTGTGTGTATCCTGATGTAGAGCAATGGTTGCTGAAACTTGGCAGTTTCTCTCCCATTGAGTTGTACAAGGTCTGTGAACGCTGTAATCGACTCCAAAATTTAAGGCCATGATGCCACACACTTATTTGATGAGCAATTTTTGTAACCACGCAAGCTGCAGATGTGGCAGATAATGATCAAACTGTAAGTACTAAAATCAAGAAATTTGACACGAAGCTGACCATGAGCTTGTATGATATATTTGAACCTTTTGTTGATATATGCATAAAATTATAAGGTCTCTGCAGAAGTTATTTTCCTTGTTGCTGAATACCATACTTGGACTTGGGTATCAAGTTGTTAAGGATTTTGGTGACTGAAAATGTATTCTATTGTGGGCTGTATTTGGAGTGGTGTGTTTGGATGATCTGGGGCAGTTCTAAAATGGACTATACCTATTTTTGCTAGGATAGTTGACTGCCATCCCACTTGTTCGCTATTAAGTGTTGTTTTAAAATTTTCTTTAGTCCTTGTTCAGAAATGAATTTTTTATAAGGGGCTGTAGTGCTCCAAATGCTATGAAAATTTTACCACAAGTTCACCTATGTGTCCTCTCAGGAAAATTTCTTGATTTTAGGACACTAATTATTTTCCAAAAACCCGGCAGTAGCTGCTGTTCAGCTTCGTGTCACAGTTTGAGAACAGATTTTGAGAAAGTTATTTGACAGACTTCCCGACATTGGAAAATTTCCAGTTTTGTTAGTTCATGAGTCTATTTTTTAAAAAGAAGGCATCCAAATTTTATCGGCTCTATAAATTACCACCACGGCTGAAATTTGTCGCACGGTTTAATTTTAGCACACGAAAAGTAGTCCATTCTTTCTTCTAAAAAGTGATTTCATTGGTAAAGTTTCTGCTGCGGGGAGTGGCTCGGTCACTTTACCCTTTGAGTCTAGTTTCTAAAGAATTTTAGTTTGCCTCGTTCCAATTAAAATTGAATTTTCTATGATTTTTTTATTAACTGCTGCGCAGATTTTATTTTTGTTCTAGCTGAGGACTGCTGTTTCGTTTTCTGTTTTAACCACACTAATCACGTCCTATGGTCTTGGGGCGTGACACCAAGTGAGTGTGGCAAAAATGTTAATGTTGAGATGGATGTGCGGTAAGACTAGAAATGATGGAATCAGAAATGATCACATTCGGAAGATTGTTGGAGTAGCACAAATTGGAGATAAAATCAGAGAAAATCGGTTAAGATGGTTTGCACATGTGCAAAGAAGTTGTTTAAATGCATCAATTAGGAAAAGTGACATAGACCAAAGTTAACATTGGTAGAGTTAGCAAGGAAGGATGTGATAGCTTGTCGATTGACTTAGGCTATTATGGCCTTAAATAGAGCGGAATGGAAACATAGGATTTATGTAGCCAACTCCAAGTGGTTGGGAAAAAGGCCTGGTGGTGGTGGTGGTGGTTGTAGTTTGTTACATTCATGTGTTGAACCTGATTCTCTTTCGTTTGTATGGAACCTTGAGGTTTAGTTATAAAGCGATAAAGATCAATTCGTGAAATAAAAACATTATGCAACAGTAGATTCTACAAGCAGCAAAAGTAGCTTGCACTCATTCCTTGGAGAGAAGTAGAAATGTCTGATAATCAAGACAAGAAATATAATAGACTAATACAGGGCATTAAAAAACTTGATATAGAGTACAGTTGAACCACGTTCCTCCCCCCCCCCCCTCTGAATACAGTAGAACCACATTTTCCTACTACCATGCATACCTAAAGTCAGCTTGTTCGATGGAACATGAACTTTTGTTGGGGAATGACTTCCATTCTGATAGACTCAGGACTAAGTTCTTATTTATATTAAAAAGTAGTAAAAAGTGAGCACCTCAGTCTTCAATTTTAGTTCTTTCTATTATGATGTCCCACATCACACTTAGTTTCTCATGTGATTTATATATTTATTTTATTTTTGACATTCATTTCCAGTTCGTACATCATTCTTCACAAAATTTTCCTTTTGCTTTAAATTTCTAGTGTATTTGCATGTTAGTATAACATATATAAGTTGTCATTTTATTTATTTTTATGAAAATATCATACACGGGTACATAATATGTATGTATGGTATGAATGTTGGGTGCATTCTTAATCTATTTACATGTAATTACGTTATATCATAAATATGTTGGAGTGCTATTCCCCACATTTGTAGGACTTCTAAGTTAATAAGTCTGTAATAATTCTATCCCAATTATTTGCTATTAATTATATTTACAAGATATAAATAAACATATATATTTATGCACGTAATTTATTTTATACTAAACGCCTTTAGGTAACATTATCTTTCTAATTGACAAGTATTTGGGTGAATATGTTCCTTCTGGAAAAATTGCAGTAGTCACCCAGGGAAGCACATTGAATATATTAGAATTTAATATCTTTTTTCATCTTCAGTTTAAAGAGTGTGTTGTATTTGATTTATTTTACTCACCATAGCTGATGGATCAGACAATATATTGTTGTTAAATCCCATATTGTGTAACTTCTGCTCATATATTTCAGTTTGTTTGTCATTTGGGTACTTTTGACAATATTTTGAATTGTCTTTGCTGTTATAATATATAAAATATGTATTTCCGTAGTATGTATGAACTTTTTTTTTTCCATAAATTATATATGAACTTCTTATATGTACTTTCCTATAATGTTAGATCTCATTTCCTCTTTTAGCCATCCGATAATATTTTTTCTTTGTGGAAAGTTGAGTCATAAAAGTCTTTTCAACTTTCCACAATTCTTGTTTTTCTTTATCTTATAATCTTTCAAAATCCTTAAAACAAGGCAATGAGATGGCAATATTGGAAAACTATTGATCAGTTTGGTGTGAATGTGTAAATTATGTCCCCAAGTTATTTATTTATATATTCTTGAGTACGTGATATATGTAATTTGTGGAGATTAATTGTCTGTTGCATGAGATGGGTGTGTTACCTGCTGATATAATATATGCATGCTGTTGATATTTTTGTTGACATAATGAGTTTTGAATATGACTTGGATGAATATTATCAAAAACTGTCATGGAAGTTGACAGGTACCATATTCAACTTTTGGAGTGTGGATAGCCAGGAATGCTCTTTAAGAGAGAAGTGTCATTCTATCTGCAGAGAATTGTGGAGGAATATGGCAAGGAGACTGCTTTCTTGGGGACTGGAAATCATGCCCTCCTGACCCAATAAAAACCTTGGTTCCCTGTGCTAGGAGACATGTACACCATATGTAGCTGATGCCTTGCCAAATTTTTTTTTACTAAGTGGCTGCTCTCACACTCTAGCTTGTATTTTCACACTTTGGCAGCTGAACTTTTACAATTGCACCAATCGTAGACTCCTTCCAACCCAATGAAAAAACAGTAGTACTGTTAGGGAATGAATGGGGAAGGGTTCTTGATGCATGCATGCCAGCCTGTGGGTTCAGTCATACACATACGAAGAGGTTTTCAGAGGATATGAAGCACTTGTTGACTATAGGATGAATGAAATGAATGATTTGTGTGATATTTATTGTTTTTAAGTTCCAAATAATTTCTTTCTTTTTATGTAGAAAAATAGTTAAATTTTTTATTTGATTTGATTTTACTCCTTACAGTTTATAATGTCAGTTTGTTTGCCAAAACATTCCTTAGGAGTTCTGTTCGAAGCTATTATACAGAGAGGTCCATTTAACCTTCCTAACCCATATACATCTCTCTGGTCTTTCTACTGTTCTGTTTCGTCTATTTGTGTTTGCCTCCATGGATATCTTATAATTTTTTTTTTCTTTTTGACCTTTCTATTCTCTGAAAGCATTATCTGGAGCATGGTATTACACCTAGATGCTTGTTCATTGAACTACTAGGATTCATTTACCTTGTACTGTTCTCAAGTTCTCCATTATTTCCACTCTCTTTTGTTGGGTTTCAAGGAGAGACTATCGTTCTATTGAGGAGATTGTTATTTTTTTGGCCTCTTTGAAGGCTTGAGGCTTTTTGTGGCCTTTTGTTTCTTTGGGATTTGCTCCCCTTTTGAGCGCTTTTTATTAAATCTTACTTATCAAAAAAAAAAAAAAAATTTACCTTGTTTAATGGGTTTCTTGCTATCTCCCTACTCTTTTACCAAAGTGATCTTTCTGTTACCCACTTCGGTTGCACATTACGTTCTATTTCTGTGTATAAGATGACGTTCAAGGTCTGTAGTTTTGGATGATGGAGTTTGATCAGATAGCATAAGTAGGAACTTGAAATTGTCAAATTTGAAGGCTTTAATTTTGGTTTGATGTTGGCTAGGAAATTACAAATAAAGTGGCACACATCTAAATTTTCTTGTGACCAAGTGTCTTGGAACATTTGGAGGTGCTATTGTGGTAGTGACTGAGGTTCCATGTTTAACTGGTCAGGAGTGGGAATGTTTTCTGGAACTTCCTTTAACAGTGGTGGATGAAGGCTTTTGAGAGTGGTTCTTTATCTTTCATATTTTTGTTTTCGAAGAACTATCTCTTGGATATCTTCTGCTTGTCTTTGTAATCAATATCACAGCAATGGCTATATTTAATAGTGTAAATACACAATTTGAAGCTTGTTTCTGTTTTGAAGAGTCCAGATTTAATGGTCCCCTTTGTTGGGAGCAATTTATTCTTTAATTCTTGATGTAAATTTTGAGATTTACTCCTTGGCTTCTTTTATAGGTTATGCAATTGACAGAAAATATCCAGCTTATATTGGAAGCTGTGCGCGCTTCAACTACTGTGGAAGTACAGGTGTGTTATTCCTCCCTAGGATAACTAACAAAGACTCCAACCATTTGCTTCGCCCTTGTCCTCTTGCAAATCGACTAAGCCATATGTCTCATTTGTTAACTTGTATTGATTTTAAGTAGTATATTGTGCTTGCTTATGGTGGTGGTTTTTATTTTTGACACCAGTGAGTAATAACTTCTCAGCTTTTGCAGTTTCTGTTTTCTGATTTGTTCATGTTGGGTATCTGATTCTCCATTCCGTTTCTTATTGTTCTGCAGGGTGACAAAGTAAGGAGGCGTAACGATTGGAAGAGATGGCTCATGCCTCCTGTTCAGTTTCCTAATGTCTCTAGTCCTCAATCACCGGGAAGTTCTTCTAGTCATGATATACTGGCTGCCAATGTCCAAAATATCTCACTCGAGGAGAGGATTAACAAGCAGGGTCATGATGAGGCTGTTCTAAGTAGATCATCATCCGGAGATGTGAATAGTCGGTCACAACAATCCAGTTCTGAGGAGACAGGCCAAGCCACTTTTCAAGCAGGTTCTGAAAGTTCAATTTCAGCGAAGAGTTCCAGTAAATAAGAACTGAGCTTACTGCACATTCTATTATAAGGGTTTTTGTTAGGGATGCGGGAAAGCTTCTCAAAGATGGGAAATATCTTATGTTTTCTAGTTATTAAGGGGGTCTTGGTCATGCTTTGATGTGATGAAACATGATTTCTCATGAGGCAAATATACACAAAGCTAGAAGGGTAAAATATAGAGCTTTTTGAGAAATAAAAGAAAAACGGAGGCAAGGAAAGAAGGTAAAAAGGAGCTCCTATGACTGTAAGGTTAGCATGAGTCCGCTGGGATATATTTAAGATTTTGGTGAGAAATTTGTTGCCCTTATTTCATGGTAATTCACCGCGATGTGTTGTGTCCATATGGGGAATTTTGGTTCCACTTCCCCGTGCTGCCTCTATGCTGTTCTTTTTTATTTTTTTTCCTTAGTTTTTTTTATAAAAAAAATGTTTAGGGTCAGATAACCTCCCGTTCTTGGCAGGTAAGCATATGAAATAGGCTGATGGAAATGAGTGGATTTGTATTTATGTGGTTGAAGGGGGAGAGAGGGAGAGAAGTGGCATTGGTGGACCTGCTACTCATGCTACTCTATCCATGGTGCGCGGTGCTTGCTCGCCTAATCATCTCTTGTTTTGGATGTTTTTTCTTTCTATGTTTCCCTTTCTTTTTTGTTTTCAGATATTGTTAAAATTACATTCATATGTGGACCTTTTGAAAATTTCACTTCATAAATTGCCTGGTTGGGGGACAACTTGTTTCAAAATATTACGTGTGGTTTGTTTTCTTTGTAATTTTTAATTTGGAGGTGATGAAACTTTCTTTTCTACTAATGTTTCTGCCTTTTCTTTTTGTTGAGTAATTTGATTACTTTAGATAATAAGTCTCTGTGGAAACTCTTAGAGGTCATACGTTCAAAATAGGAAACAGTTCTTCACAAGTCAAAATAGGAAACTCTCTCTATGTGCAGACATATAGACTTTGTACGTGCAGAGGTATGGCTGTGTACATCAAATCCTTTTCAGACTCTGCAATGGCCCAAGCTTCAGGCACTGGGTTATTCCTAGACCTCTAGTTGTAATTTATTACGTTCTTGATGATTCTTAGGCAATGACCGGCATAGAATTGTTGAAAAGTTGTGTGTGTGTGTGTGTGTGTTTTTTTTTTTCAAGAAAATTGTAGTTCCAAGTAACAAAAAAATTGAACTAAAATTCTTGTCGAATTTTAATTCCATGTAGTCTAACATAGCATTGAGAGTTGTAAGAAATTATTGATCATATTTAGAATTGGATTTAGGAGAATTGACTGGTATGTAGAATCTATTGCCAGCTTATTTTTTGTGGCCAAACTAGAGGCCTTTTAGTTACCCTTTTAGGCATTTGCTATTTCCTAGCTTGGTGTATTTTGAAATGGCCTAGGACCTAAAGTCTTGAGAATTGTGTGCTTGGCAAAAAAATACCAAGCAAACCAGAAAGCAAACAATGTTAACTGTTAACATATGGGTGGGCACAACTTGAGGTGGGCAAAAACACATGTAAAAAAGTTGTATGCCACCTATCAAAATAGGGTTTGATGGACATCCCACCACCTGTTGCCTGAACCACTACAACATTTGTCTTTGTCAGCCAAACTGGCCCTGTACTATGGGCTCTAGCCATCGAACCAATGGTCACTAGACCCATCGCACCACGTGTTGTCCATTGGATCATAACTGTAAGCTGCTGTAAGCTGACTACTGATCAGTATTCTGCTATAATAGAACAGAATATCTCTGACATAATAGTGTCATTATTACTTCCTTCTCCTTTTTCTGCTAACTTAAGTCTCCAATCAAATCAAAAACTCAATTATGTCTATTTACAAAATGTACCTTCCCTCTCTCTCTCTCTCTCTCTCTCACACACACACTTTTCCATGATACCTTCTTTCCTTTAACAATTTAGAGCTCACAGTATATGCATATGGCATACGATACATAATGGATGTTATAGTGAGTGTCACTCACGGTTCATTACACTTTTATGTTTTAGACATGGAAAGTTTATACTTTATACTATAAGTTCTTTTTTGAACATATGTGTGTGTCTATATATATATATATATATATATATATATATATATATAAAAGAGAAAGAGAAAAAAGAGAGAGACTGAAGGAGAGGAGAACCCGAATCCTTACAAAGCTATATCATCATTCAATAAAGAATTGAAAATTTATGCATATAACCCCTTATACTAGGTAAACTTCATGAAATCATCTTATCTTTTCAAAAAGTCATAAGTTATTCCTTTTTTGCCGTCACACCAATGGGAAATCTCCCGCTTACTCTCCATAAGACCAAGATGCCCTTGTATATACCCTTTAAGTTTTTAAATTAAAATCAAAGAGCAGGGTCAATTTTGTCATTTTATAACCTAATTAACAGATATGTCACTTCATAAAATAAAATAATCATTTTTGTTAGTAGTAGGGTTATTTGACATTACCGGGGGTTATACTATTATTTAGAATAGCATAGGAAGGTTTTAAGATTTATTCCTGAATTTTTTAAAATTTTTTCTTGACCATTTGTTCGGCTCTGTCAACTTAGACCAGCTAGGTCCGGTTTAAAATTATTGCATGGACAATGTAAAATTATTACATTAGGCCCATCACGAGAAGAGGACAAAAATGAAGTGTGTGTTGTGATATGAGGGTAGGTGTTTGGACTGTGGATAACTTGTTAGAGGTACAAATGTGATGGAAAAGTAGACATGGACTCTACTGTAGCTGACTAAGGGAGTGGTAAGCCCTGCTGATGAATGGGCTTTATTGGGTGTGCAGCACTGTAAAAAAAAGAGAAGAGAGAGGAGTGCTGCACAGAGCTGACAGCTGTCGCCTGAAGACTAGACCCTGTGAACTCTGATATAAAATCTAGTTTCACTCTCCCATATCTCTCTATACCTTGGCTTGGACTCACGTTAAGGTTTCTTTTGAATTTCAATGAACTAGTGATGAGCATCTAGTTTCTTTCTAGCCATGAATGATTGCATCACCCTTTTGGATTTTTACTTTCTGGTTTGCATTTTAACTAAATTAAGGGACTAAATTAATGCCAAGAATTGTTCTCCTTTTAATATTTGGGTTTATTTGATTCGTAACTCTAAAAATAATTCTTAAGAATTTAGAAAATATAAAACAGTTTTCAGAAAATAATAAAAGACAGTTCTCTGAAAACAAACATTTTTATAACTGAATTTTCAGAAAACTGAATCAAGTAGAAGTTTTCTGTATAGTTTTCAATTTTATGAGAATAGAAAACTATTCTCAACTGTTTTCAGAATTACAAACCAAGCAATACCTTTGATTTGCACACTCTCTATGTTTACAGCTATCAAAAATACATCTACATACATCCTCATTGCTACCAATGCTCTTAGTTCTTATAACTGGGGGTTTGTTCTAATTCAATATGTTACTTCATGTTGTGCAGGGACTATCCGCTTTGTACTCCCTGTACTCATAATTTTTAAAACGTTTTCACACTTCACACAATCAACTTCTCATCTAAAGAGATGTGAGATATTACAACCTGGCACAGACCTATCTAGAAGACATTAGGGGTATTTTAAATTTGAAATTATAGAAAAACTCCACTATTACCCCCACAACATTTTTTATTTTGTTCTTGTTAAAGGTATGTATCTGGATAGTTCAAAGTCTCGATAATTAGCTTTTAGTCTTCTAGTAAAAAAAATACCCTCTTATAACTTTCTGACTCCATCATCCCTGGTTACACTATATTTTGAAATGAACGATGACAATGCAAAGCAATTAATATTCTAAATCACTAATCGATTGCTTTCAAAATAATGATATTTAATAATCGTATTTCTTTCCATTTTCATATTGTATCATGATAACAATAATCAATTTTAACGATCTACCTAGGAAAAAAAAAAAAAAATTTAATGGACATTAGTTTAGATGATATTATATTTTCTCTCCATATAAAATTTTGAGTGTTCAATCCCCGTAATAGAAACAATATTGTGGGCGCATATAAGTTTCGGGAAAAAATAAAATGTCCAACTTTAACATAACTAAAATTCCTGCAATATTCTTATTTATTTATATAGAAAGGGTTAAAATCATAAAACCCCCTCTACTTTGCCAAAACTATCATCTAACCCCCCATCTAAAGAAACTATCATATTCCCCTTCTTTATATGGTCCCGTTGATCACACCGAAAACAAGAACTAGGCTAATCAAGAGGACACTCTACCTTATAGTGTCCCGTCTGCTTAAAAAAATTGAAAGAATTAACTCATAAATTTCAAGTCAACACATGCTTTAATATTTTCAAAGAATTTATGAATATTCATGAACACAAATGCATGACACCACAAAATTATCAATAATTTTCAAATCTCATAATTGATTTCCTTCTTCCCATCAATATTGCATTTAGTTTATCCCACCTAGTACAATCTAAAGGAAACCAGATTTTCCATGTTTCATTTTAATTGTCTAGTTTAGATGGGATTTCAGTCTGGTACCCAATTCTTCTCCATTGTGACAATTAGGTAGCTATTCATATTGCTAGCAATCCAGTTTACCATGAGAGGACTCCCTTAACTTTTCAAAAGTGTATCACATCACCCCATCCCGTTAGTTTGCCATTAGTTTCAGACGGGATAAAAGCACGTGATTCTCATGTGCAACCATTTAATAACTTATTGACCAATTTGCCCTTATAATCATGTATTGACCATACTGCCCTCTTAAACCCATTCAATTATCACGTGACTCACTTGCAAACCCAATTTTTCATTAACTTCTACCATTATAGCAAAGGATACATAGAGCAAACACATAAGCCCTAAATCATTATCATCCTCCATTGTAGCGAAGCAAAGCTTTCTGTTTATTCAAAAAAATCTTTCCCAAATCATTTGATTTCTATCATACGAGAGCCTAAATCAATTGTTTGAAGGCCTAAATTGAAAATATTGTTTGCCCTAAATCACTTTAACCAATCCATTGTTCGATTTGAATTAGGGGTGGCCATAGACCGAATTAGGCATCAATTTTAATTCAATCCGCTCCCAACGGATTAGACAAATATTAATCCACCACTGATCCGTTATCCCACGGATCAGACCGGATCCGTGTAATAACAGATTGGATCGGATTCACGAATTGGGTTTTATCTAAATATATTATCCATTATTATTTTTATAATTAATATTATTTATTTATCTTTTAATCATAACTCAATAGATAAAATTTTAATTTATTAATATTAATTCATATATTTAAATAATTATTAACTAATATATCGTAGAGCCATTAAATTATCATTAACTAATATATTCTTTGAAAAAATATATATATATTTCATGAATGGATCGGATTTTTAACAACCCAATCCATGAACTACGGATTCAATTTTTTTGAATCTGCCACCGATCCGTAGGTGTAGCAATCCGATCCGATCCGCATGGATCCGATCGAATTCACGGATTATTTATCTACCCTAATTTGAACCCTGAAAATTCTTTCTCATTCTTCCATAATAAGATGTTATTCTGTCCAATTCGGTGTATAAAGTCACCGAAGGCAGCGATCTTTGCGGACGAGCAAGTCCATAAGGCCGGTGTAAGCCTAAAAATCATTGCCTGTGCAACTGAAGAGGTTGGAGGACCACGGGGACTTAAAAAATGGACTGGTTCCATGGAGTATTAGGTGAATTGTCTGCGTTTTCTGGCCAAGGAGGAGGTTTCGGAGATTTTGTGATCCGATAAATTATCTTCATTATTGTTTGAATCGGATTGCAAAAAGTTGACCAATTTTTTTGGCTGTGAATTAGAGCTTTGTTTGCCTTTGAAAGACACTGAAAGATACTAGTATAATTACACACACACACATATATACACACTCACTTGCTATATATGCAAAAGCTGGTTATGGACTATGCTACTTCTGCATTAGCCACTGCCAATTCTATTAATAAGGAAAGAATTAATGTCGTGTTATTGTCTCTCACTCACTTGCTGCCTTGTTTAATTCATATTTTTGAAATAAATTAAAATTTGAACCAACTTCCTAAATTAAAATAAGGGCATAATCGTCATTTTAAAAATATAAATTGGAGTATTAAAATAATAATATATTATAGAGGTCAATTTGGTCATTTAACCCTCACTTAACAGCCCATTCACATAATAATTGAAAGAATTATATGTCGATTTTGTAAATAGTAAGGGGTTTTATGTCTTTAACCCATGTAGAAATGCATGTGGGCCAAAAGTAATTTTACTAATCAAAACTATGCACAATGGAGTAAGTTTAGGTAAATACAGTAAAAGGTGATCTTGAGATTAATGATTGCCACATTTACTAATATCCACATTCCACGCCATTGCTAAGCTAATTGTGATAGGTTGCTGCTATGAACTAAACGGTACTGTTTTGTTCGATTTTATGATAAAATGGTTCAACTTGAATTTTATTAAATAGGTAAATAATTAGACGATGTGAAAGCACTTTGGAAAAAAAATTAAGAACTTTTGGAAGAGGTTGACAGAGGCGTTAAGTATCTTTTTTATATGGTTGGTCAAGATATTAAAAGTGATTGAATAAAGTGAGAATGGCGCCTTCCAAAAAAATTTCCAAGAGAGTGATTGTCTCGTCACTGATATGACACGATCATAAAATGTCATATTTTTGTTTTATATCAAAAAAATATATATATATATATATATATATATTTATTTATATATTTTAAATTTAAATAAACATGCCACATTTTTACACTTTGGTATAAAAAGAAGGTTATTGCTCATTAATTAGGAGGTAAATAAATATAGGGGTATAGAGAAAAAGGATAAATAAATATTGGAGTATAGTTTCCATTTAGAGTTCAAATGAACCAAATCGCTAGAAATAAATAATATATATTATTTTGTATAATATACTTGTTCCAAATATAACTTACCAATTTACCATACACTATAATACATTAGATAATCTGATATATATATATATATTTTATTACAAAGCAAAAAGAGATAGAAGTAAAATTAGTAAATAATCGGATATATAAATTTTAATTTTTAACTTTTTATTTTATTAACATATATATATATATATATATACACAGCTCAGAAAGGATGCTGAGAGATGGCCCCCTCTCCCACTTCAGCAGCATAAAAATTTCCATGGAATAAAAAGGTGGTGGGTTGCAACTTGCATCAACAAAATTTCCATTGGTAATTGGATAAATTTATATATATATACACACAATATGTATATATACGTACTATAGTGTAGTTAGGCGAGGCATGCCTTTGATGGGCTGGAAATCGTACCCTACTACACTTGTCATCTCTCATGAACCTGTCATATCGATCAGTTTCTCTCTCTATACATACATAGATGCATAAGGCTTCAACAGCTGGAGCAATGCCCTCTCATCTCAGACGTCCGTCTCATGCCGATTAATCAAGCACGAAAATTCATTAAAGAAAACCGCGCCTTCCCGAGGCATCTTCTCAACGACGTCGTTATGTTTTGTTCCAAAAAAAACTTATCCTACTCGTTTACTCGTGGAGGTGGTCCCACTCTCACATATATATTAGAGGGGAATTTTTTTTTTTTTACTGGTTTAGAGTGGAAATTGAAATCACTATAAATGAGTGGAGTGTTCACACCAACTCATAGTTTAAATTTTTTGGTCGATTTGTAAAATATTTAATTTATTATTTTTAATATTGGAGAGTCAGACTAATTCTTGATTTAGTGTCTGGGTGTGTTGCCCCAGGTTGGCAGGGTGACTCGATAACCTATCCAATCATAACAAAAGAGATGAAAGTTCGAATAAGAAAGAATGTTAAAGGTGTCTCATATCGAATCTGAACGGATATGACAATGGGTTGCCCGGGTTCGAACTAGTCGGATGGAGTAAATAATTTCCTTGTTAAATGAAACAAGTAAAAATCTCTCCCCAAGTTGTCCTTGCATTTTTCATTGCACAAGACTTTCTCTATGTAAATTCGAACCCGAAATTAGTCGGATGGAGAGCGATGCAAGTTTGGATGGAGAGAATGTTAGCAATTATACGACAAATAACCACCAACAGACGTGTAACAAAAGAATATTTTTCCCTTTATTGTTAAATTTATTATTTATTATTAAATTATTTTTGTTGTCTTTTATCTTATCTAAATATTAATTATACCATTTATTTTAATTTTATTTTTATTATCAATTTATCATAAAAATGAAAAAAAATAGAGTTGTAACTACCATTTTTTTAAATGTATCTTATTATTAAAAATTTATTATTTATAATAAAACTTAGTATATTTGGTTTTAAAATTTTTTATCGTGAAAAAATACATTCTTTTTTATATAATATATTCGTGAAAAATAAAAAATTACTTAAATTGTTTTAAAATGTTCTACTTAAGATTTAAACAATTAATTAAAGAATTAAAGGTAAATTTATGTAAATTTAATGAACAATGTGTTATCAAATTAGTAAGAATTTTGTTTTTCATAATTTATTTTAACAAGAAAATTGAATTATGTGTAATTCAATAAGAAAAGGGCATTATAGATATTTAATAAAAATAGCCCATATATTGCAGCATTTTTGTAATTCATAATTTTTTTGCACGTACTTTATTCAAAAATATATTATATACATTAATTTACTTAATGCAAATGATCAAAATTGTTCATAAACCGATTGGAATAGCTCATTTAATGTTTGATTGAACTTGTTCTTTAACACGAGTCAGATACGAGTTTTATTTTTTGCTCATTTAGTGAACAAGTTGATTTCAAATATTCTTAGACTACAATCATATAAGCTCGAATGCGTCCATGAATACATGTTCATGACTACATTCGCATACACAAACTTGTATAGGTTAACCGACCTAACATAAGCTTGTATAATTAAACTCGTATAAATTCACAAACAAGACAACTATCTTAACCAAAGCCGATTATGTTAAAAGCCATGACTACATTCACATATATAAGCTTGTATAGGTTAATTAACCTAACATGAGCTTGTCTAAACTAGTATAAGACAACTATCTTAACCAAAGCCGATTATGTTAAAAGCCATTCCGAGCACGAGTGTTGGAATAAATTGACGGTACTCATATGAGATTGTTTACCATCCAATCCAAAAGGATAATTTTTGCATACCCATCCTCACATGGACAAGACCATTTTCATCCTAATTCAATGTGCAATAAGAACTCATCCTCTATAATATTCTCTTTAATCTATAGGGGTCAGATCACCATGTCTACATGCCATTCTATGAATAGAATGACTCAATAACAACTTGGACCTACCATTAACTCGGTGGTATTTGACTTGACATCAAATCAAAGAATGAACCTACTAAAATACTACTTCTAGTGGGCGGAGTCATTGCCATCAAACTCAAAAACTTAAACGGATTGATAGGTGATTTTGCTTACCCACTTGCATATGTCGAAAAACTTTTTTTTATTTTTATTTATCCGGATCCTACATGGATCAAGATCTTTTAAGACCTAATTATAACTCTTCTCTCTTCTCTCTTCTCTCGTTTCAAAGTACAAGACAGATCATTCAAAGATTCCCAAGGGTACAATGGAGGGAAAAAAAAAATGATAGTTCTCAAATTTCAAACACATGCTCAAATAGAAAGTGATACAGTTACCAAATTTAAACTCACATCCTAGTGAAACTTGCGATGCAATGAGCCCCACACACAAGGTACTAAATCTGGTATTACCTCTTAAAAAGTGTTAATATATACATATATATATATATATATATATATATGTATACACACACACATATATTTTCCCCCCTCCTTTTATCAGTCCAATTGACAAGGTATCCTAGTAAATGTCATCTATTCTAACATGTTATGTCAATGCCCACACTCTCTCTTGCAAGCATTTGGTGTAGCATGTGTTTGGAAATTGTATACAATAAAGAAGTAAAACAAGATAGAGAATAACAAGCATTTGGTGTATCAAAGTTTTGGTCCCATAAAGATTGGAAATTGTACACAATAAAGGAGTAGTGAGTATAAGAAGATAGAGTAGAGAATAAAGGTACAAAAATGGTGTGTGAACATGAATAATTGTGGTAAAGCACCAGAAAAAAGAGTAAAATGTTTTACATTGATTAGTGTAAATGAAACAACATGTAGTAGGATATGTGTCACCACTACTAATAAAGATGGAAAATTCTGTTGCCCTAAAAACAGAAAAGAATAATAAGGAGCAAAAATTCTCAGACAAAAACACTTCTAATTCGAGTGCAAACTAGGTCTTAATGTAAGTACAGTATCTGCACACATTGTTTTTACCTACCTTTACGTGCTGTTCCGGAAGTTTTTCTTCATTTTAATACCATTCCCAACATGGTAGTATTTTCCAGGGGTCACGCTTGTTGCACGTGTCATATAGCACCAAATTTGAAATGACCATTCACTCAGAACAACTTATAACTCCTCTCTCTCTCTCACACACACACAATACTCCTCTCTCTCTCTCTCTCTCTCTGTGTGATGTGTCTATTTGAAGACATGGTATAAACCTTTCCCCAAACACTCTCTGTGTACTCTTCATCTCTCCAATGTTGGGTGATGAAGAGAACAGAAACAGAGGAATCATAAACAGAGTATCATCATCATCAACGACAACTTCAAAATCATCATCAATATCTTCGTCATCCTCATTCTCACCTTCTATTTTCCACCCAAACCCTAGGCTTAAAACCATGGAAGAGGTCTGGAAGGACATCAACCTTGCCTCTCTTCATGACCACTCCATCAGTGACAACTCTGACACCACCCGCTACCGTGGCATGATCTTCCAGGACTTCTTGGCCCGACCCTTTAACAAGGACCCACCTACGAGCGTCGCCGGCGCCTCCAGATCTCCGCCGGCGCCGCCTGCTCCGGCCACCGTGCTGAGCTTGAATTCCGGGCCTGAGTTCCAATTTCTCAGTAACTCCGACCCATTAGGCCAAAACTTGATCTTTCCGCCCCAACCCATGTCGAATGTGTGTTCTATGAGTCACCCATTTGACTCTTTGGCGGCTGCTTCTAACTTGCCGGCGTTTGGGAAGAAGAGGTTCCCGGACTCTGACAACAATTCCGGCGACCGACGACATAAGCGAATGATCAAGAACAGAGAGTCAGCTGCTCGATCAAGGGCTAGAAAACAGGAATGACACTCTGTTTGATGTAATCTATATATATATATATATACACACCCATACAAATACATGACCTCTTTAGACTTCAATTCTCAACTACAAGTTAGCATCTTTTTGTGTTATATATATATATATATATATATATATATATATTATACAGACACATGCCATTTCAATTTTTAATTTTTTCCCAAAAATAATTAAATTATTAACTGGTTGTCTGAATGGCTTTATATGGTTCTGATTCTCATTTTTATGCACATTACAGGCTTACACAAATGAATTGGAGCTAGAAGTTGCACATTTGATGGAAGAAAATGCCAGACTCAAAAAACAGCAACAACAGGTACATTAGCTTAAATACCCTAAAATTAAATTAAATTAAATTTAATTATATTAAACCCTCCAAAGTGGTTTCTCAATTTGGGTCTAAACTATTGTACCTTTGGTTCTATTTTCTACTCTGATTGTTACTATTAATTGTGCTAATATATATATTTTTAATTATATTGTACATTAGCTTAAGAACCCTAAAATTAAATTAAATTAAATTAAATTAAAACCTCCAAAGTGGTTTCTCAATTTGGGTCTAAACTATTGTACCTTTGGTTCTATTTTCTATTCTGATTGTTACTATTAATTGTGCTAATATATTTTTTTAATTTTTTAATTTTTTTTTTGTGCAGTTGTGTTTAGCTGCGGCTAATCAACCACCCAAAAAGCACACTCTCCAACGAACATCAACAGCTCCATTTTGAGAAGTTTCAGTGGCTTCCTAGAGAGAGAGAGAGAGAGAGAGAGAGAGTGACTACTGGAGGGGGTGTATGTTGTAAGGTTTTGATGGGTTAGGGCGAAAATCACTCTCTAAATAGTGGTGGTTTTAGGAAAGGATTGGAGACAATGAAAAGTTGGTGTTTTTGCATTTCCAAACAAGAAAGGGGATTTTTAGTGGGTCCTTGCTAAATTGTCTTACATTTTCTTGCTTTGACTTGACTCTCTGTCTCTCTATATGTATATATTTGTTTATATAGTATATTTTATTTGGGCTTTTGGCTAACCTTTGTATAAAGACTTGATGAGGATACAAAGTAACAAAGCCTAGGGTTTATAATAGTGTTTTACAAGGGACTTGCATTTATTTTTAACCCCATTTATTTTATATTTTAAGATATTTTTAACGGATTTATTTTAATAATATTAAAAGTTGAAAATAGAGTGCGTTTTAAAACTCGACGAAGTAAATATGAGTGGGACTGCTTTGTTCTTGATCACTTGACATGCCATCACTTGACATGCCATCACTTCAAGTAGTCTCCAACATCATCCTTATCTTCTCTGTTTTTTTCCATTACTGTCGCTTTCTATCATTTACAAACCCTTTTCTCACCATTTATTATTACAACCATTGATGTATTCTCACTATTTTGTTGGGTTATCTATGACCTTTGCTTTTTTGACTCCATAATTCGAAAGAAAGAAAAAATAGTGAAAAAATAAAAAGAAGAGAAAGAATACGAGTGCTATTCTAAATTGTACAAATTAAAAAACCACTCATAAAAAGAGGTTTTGTGAATCATTATGGTGTTAAAAATCCACATTGCCTAATGCCTTTTTTAAAAGTCTATTTTGTTGTTGTGAGCCTATGGGCCTACTTGCACAAAAGCAGCTTCTAAAGGCCCTACTTATGAAAAGGGTAAAGTGCACAACTCATAAAAATTTTTAATAGTCAATTTTGATCATTTATTTATTTATTAAAATCTCAAAATAACATTAATAATACCTTCTTTTTTTTTTTTTAATGAAACCAATGTTTTTATTTTGGTTTAAGGGCGTGTTAGGTATTTTAATTTTCAAATTAACAAAATATTCTTATTTGCTCAATTTAAAAAATATTTTGAGTTTTTTTTTTTTAACATGAGAATGTTACACATTCTCTATATAACAAATTTATTTATTTATTTATTATTACTTTTTGCACTTGTGAAAAAGGTGAAAGTCTACAATATTCCGGGACACTGTATGTATTTTCGGGTTCCCAACCATTGAATAGGGTGATGAGACTCATTTGATAAATGATCCAACGACAGAAAGATTATGAGGTACGATCTCTCGGGTAAAAATGAGCATTGCTTAATGCCACTTGTAAAAAGTCTATTTAGTTGTTGTGAGCCCATTAATGGGCCTACTTACAGAAAAGCAGCTTCTAAAAGCCCTACTGAAGATACTGCTTGGATTATGGCCCACCTAACACCTTGTGTAGATAATATCAAACCTGAAAGCATTGTGGGCCACGTCTTGTAAAGAAATACTTTTAATAAGCATGTGTGAGGTAGGGTACTATTATTATTATTAACAGTGAGTGTCTCTTTATACCTGCAAAAAAACAAAAAAAATTCCTAATTCTTTGGGATATAAATAGACCCTACCTTCTCTCTCTCATATCTAATCCGAAAATTAGCTGCAATAAACAATTCTTTTTCTCTCATATTTCTGATTCGGTCTGTGTGGCCGAAGCATATATGTTGAGACAGATTTTATTAAGGATCGTGGGTTGGAGTTTCTCAAAAGTTCAATTTGAAATGGATGCTTAGGTTATTGTTTGGATGGTGAATGGAATGTTTTTTTGTCATATTATTTTTTGTTTGAAGTCTTCTCCTTCTTTCGTAGTGCACTTTGTCAATCGAGAGGGAAATGTCCCCGCTCATACTTTAGCTAAATATGCTTTACAGATAAAAGCTAATGTATATTTCTTGGACCATTTTTTTCCCGACCTTATAAGTGCTGTGGTACTTGATTGTAACTCTTGTTAATTTTATTTACCTTTCTTGCCGAGAAAAAAAAAAAAAAATCTTTATAGTTTGTTTCGATTTAATTAACGATTTAATTTTAGTTTCAACCTTTTTATAAAATCGGGTTGGTTTCAAAATACTCCTACCATATAGACCCTGCCTACACTCTCCCGTAAATAATATGAAAATAAGTTGCAACAAATAATTTTTAATTTGTCCATATAAAATCTCCCGTACATGGATATAGCCAAGTTGGCAACAAGGGAGTAATTTGTCCATATAAAATCTCTAATAAATCACACCCAACTTTGGGATCCAGGATTGCCTTGACTTGACAAAGTAGTCCATGCTATATATATATATATATATATATATATATATATATATATATAATTATATAGATGTTTCCTAAAAAAATTTGGATTAGCTCTCCGAAAGCTTTTAAAGTGTAAAAAAAGCATCCAGACTAGGACATTATCAAGGAGAATAGTTTTCAAATGTGTGTATCAGCTCAAAAATTGTGTTCATAAAAGACAATTCACATGGGATATTTTCGGTTGCTTGGAATTCGAGCCTTGTACTTTAGGCATCTTTGAATTCAAATTTCATGTAAAAGCATTTGATACATTACAAGCCAAACATGGTCTTGTCTTATGTTCACTGGCTACAAACAAATGTTGCAGCCATGCAATCAGTGTGTGTGTGTGTGAGAGAGAGAGAGAGAGAGAGAGTTCTGCTGCAGGGCACAATTAGATTTCAAGAACTGATCAGAATCCAGCAACATGAAAGGAAGAAAACCAAATCATCATCTCCTCAGTAATTAACTCCTCCCTCTTCTCAGAGTTCTCTTCTTCCATCGAAAACCGGCACATTGGACATGTTCTACGACACATAGTAAACCACCTATCCACACACACACTATGGAATTCATGCAGGCAGGGAAGTACCCGCGTCTCCTCTCCCTCCTTCAATCTCGATAAACACACACAACACAGCCGAACCTCAATTATAGCCTCCCTACGTGCAGGTACTCCTCCTCGAGATTCATTCGGTCCCTCCACAACCCTGCCCTCAATAATGGATGCAACTGCCTCGTAAGATGACGAGTCTTTGATTCTTCGTCGCAATCTTAGACCGATGAAACTACATATAAAAGCCACCCACCTTTTGATAACCATTGGTTTAGTACAAAATTTAACATCTATTACAGGCTTAATAGGAGAGAGAAAGAGAGAGAGAGAGATAGAGAGAGAGAGAAAGGGAGGGAGGGAGAGAGATCGATCTCAAGTGTGGTAGCAAGTAATAGGTCATTTTGTTGGTCAGTTGTTTTGCGTGGTTTGGAAGGGTTGTTAGGATTGAAAGAGGGTTCAACACATTGGTTGTACCTAAAGATGTTAACTCTGGACCATTATATGATATATATATATATATATATATATATATATATATATATAAAGATGTTAACTCTTGACCATCATATGATATATATATATACATATTTATATTCTATAAGATAAATGGAGAGGTTAAGAACCTAATACTTCAAGCTTATCCCTAATTAGTTGTAAATACTAATTTAATATCCTTTTGTTAATCAACCATGTTGCTTGAGGGTTGTCTCATTGGTAATGCAGCACTAGTTAAGCTAGAATTGTTTTCTTGCAAACTGATCCTTTGTGCTTTCTTTTTGAATGATATTCGATATGCAAATATATCTCCAATCTCATTGTGTTTAGAGAACAATATTTTGACTTGGTTTTCCAGGGGCTCCATTAATTTTCATTTCTTAAGTAGATGATTCGAGTTCGAACATTATTTTCAAGCTTGTTTATTAAATGAGTCCATTCCTAATAGCCACGAGTCTGCTTGTTCAGCTTGTGAACATACTCGTGAACTGCGGGATTCACTAAAAAACTTATTAACACCTATGAAAAGAACTTCCTAAGATTGTAATTTATCTTTTAAATGAATCTTGATCTCATACTCCGATGATGACTAAACGAGTCTAGGACTCTAGCTTGAGCTTGGGGAGCGGAAAACAAAGTCGAGTTCAAACACTTCACACGCTTAGCTTAACTCAAGCCAGTCTCATCAAAGGATTTGTAGCCTATTGGTATCTCTACCTGCCAACGAAGAAGAAGAAGGAAAAAAAAAAAAAAAAAAACTCGAGCTAAGCTCCAATATTGTACAGAAATATTGGGAAAACAATGCATTTTCCAAACTACTGAACAAACAGTGACTCAAATGGCACTATTTGTTCCTTGTGCTTTAGCATCAACCCTGAAGTCAGAAATATCTTTTCACAAAGAACTTCAATGGAAAATTTGCTCAGATTGTCATATTTGAATCTGGCACTGCAACAAGGGTCCCAAACCTAGCTAGCTTCAGAATTTACCTATAAGAAAATTCAATCAGAATATAATGGCCTAGACTGAAGACTTTTCTCTAACAGTAAATGAATTGATTTTCCAAAGCAAGCATGTCCGTTTTAGATATAAAGAATAGAAGCCTATTGGGCATTTTCCCACTAGGAAGAATCAAGATTTCAAGAATTGGATCCCAAATGGCACTCATCAAAAGAAGGTTAACTATAGGTTGAATTATCTAATCATTTCCCATATTATATATATATATATATATAAAGAGATATAAGGCCTTACCAACGGGTCAGTGACCTAGCGGTATCAGCCTTTTACTTTCCAAAAAGAGGTCAGGAGTTCAAGTCTCAGAAAAAGACGTGTGTGTGAGTACCAACTAGGAAGGAAAAGATAAAAGGCCTTCATGCACTGCTTCATAACAAGCAGTTTGGAAGCACTTAACGAATCTCAAACCCCTCCAAAAGATTTTCAACTTTTTACATAAAAGCTAGATAGAGTTTGTTAGAATATATATATATATATAGTGACAGAGTTGAATTCCCTTTCCCTTGCATTTAAATATACAATATGCATTCTTGTAGGCCCTCAAGCACTCATTGTCATTGAAGACATGCATCTGTATGCCATAATTCGCTGTTAAGTTATGTTTTATCGCGGATTATGTACTTACTGTAGAAAAGAACTTGCCTTTTTAATTAATTGTATAGTGGCGAAAGAACTCCGGTAACTGCTCAGAATTTTTGTGCTCTTTATTAATCAGTCACAAATTCTTTAAAAGAACCTGATAAGAATTGAACCAAATGGAAGTGTCAGATGATAGCTTAAGCAGGGGAAACGTTGCAGACAACTTTCTAAGTATCATTTCACACAGAATAAGAAAAATTTCCACATTCCAACAGAAATGAAAAATGGATTTTGCCACCAAAGGCTTATCTCCCCCTCCTTCCAAATTGAAAGTTGAGGGTTCGAATCCCCAATGGGACAAATAAGTGCGTGTTTGTCTTACTTGCCCCAAAAAAAAGAAAAAGAAAAAAGAAGATTATGACCATCACAAGCAATTCGATCCACCAAGTAAACTCTGATATGTCTCAAAACAGGATAGTTGATAATTTTGACCAGTGAGTTAAAGAGAGAAAGATGTCAAGTGAAGCAACTAGACATCCATATGTATCATGCTTAAGCCTTTAGACACGAGGCAATCCCTTATTTCTTAAAATAAACATAAAAAGGTCATTGGCTAGTGTTGATCTTTCTAATTAATGGTGCTAACTGTCATGGATGTGTATATGTGTCCTGTCTCACACCGAGTATAAATTGAGTGGTCTTGGGGTTAATAAATGGGTGAAAGGAACCAGACGAGTAGTCCTGTGGAACCCATCCATTGAGACAGTGGTATCAAAGCCAACCCATGGGTACTGCAATGTGAATCGAAAACACTATTGCACGGGTCACACACGGAGGTGTCGGTCCCCTTGCAAGGTCGCAAGGATCTGGTTTGAAGGGCCTGTCACTGACACATAGATGTGTTCTATCTGACATCGGGTGTGTACAGGACGGTCTTGGGGGGAACAAATGGGGGCAGAAAAATCCACAAGTGACTAGTTCTTTTGGTATGGAATCGGGCCATTGTGACATAAAGGAGTGAATTGTATCTAAACTAACAGACATAACCTTTAGTATTATTTACATGAAGCAGATGCTACCAAACTTGAACCTACATTCCTACACTTGACCGCCCAAGTTATTATCATTGCACCAAACAATGACTCTTTCTCAAGATAAATATATATATGAAATTCATACAACTGCAAAAGTGACGCGAGCATGTGGGCACAAGAATGCTTGCGTATGTAGAAACAATCTTCTAAGTTCTAGTTGTGCAAGTAGAACATTCAGTTTATGAGTGAAAAACAAAGAATCAAATGAGTGCCTCGCAATTCAAAGCACAAGGCCCCAAGGTTGAGACTGCACATATTATATTTGAGGCCCATGTTGCAGCTGAAGCGTTAAGCATCACACACCTTTATGGTTCCATCTGAAAGTAAATAGAACTAAAGTTTTCTGCCTATTTAGATCCAAAAGCTATGCACACATCATCATATGACACAAACAAGGTAGACATCAGTTGTTTCCCAGAAGCTACCCATACATTAAAATAATAATAATAATAATAAAATAGTTCCCATTTCCTAGAGATAGAAACAAGAGACAAGGATTGAATCTATTTTTTAAGTGTAAGAAAAAAAGCAATTATAAAAGAATCATGTGAAATATGTTTAAGAAAAACAAGTAATCAAGGGCAAAGATCAACTGAAGGAAGAAACACTGGTCTAGAAATTAACTGCAATGGATTACTTTTATCACATGAAATCAAAAAGAATGGACATATAACCATTACTGATAGTCAACAGAGTTCACTAATGATCACTTGATTATGAGAATAAAGAGGTTTAGAAGCATAAATAAGTCATTCAAAATGTTGGTGCAAAAAATTGATGGCTGCAAACAAACAACCACAGCTCGCAAAATTATTTTATGTAAATAAATTCTCCAAAAGATGTGACGAAATTTACAGAAACCCCATGAAAAATAATTTTCCGTGCAATGCACATGCCACATCTAACAATTCAACACAGGGGCTACCTCTTCCTACTCCTCAATTCACGATCTTAAGAGCTACCTCCTCGACGTTCCATTTCCTTATCATTTGAATCAACACTGCCATCAGGTTTCGCCGAGTCATCAGTTTCAATTATCTTCCCATCATTAGGTACAAGGCAAGGAATCCCATCCACAATCTACCATATAAACAAAGAAGACAGAAAATTCACATACTAGTAATAGCTGATAAATGTGATACGTAGTAGTATTTAAGTGTTTTTCGTGAATTCATCAATGATTACTCCCCATTTATACCGCATTGGAACATCAAAGCTCAAAAATTTCATGTCTAGCTGATCAATGTGATAGTAATTTAGTATTTTTCGTGAATTCAGCTCTGATCACTCCCAATTCATCACCTTGAAACATCAAAGCTTAAATATTTTTTTACGGTTTTGAGGAAAATGCTTAAGTAATGCTACACCAATTACCAAATTAACAAAGACCAATATTGAAAATCAAGAATGAGAACTCACGGGATAAGCAACGTCAATTACTCCCCATTCATACCACATTGGAACATCAAAGCTTAAATATTTTCGCATCAAACTGATCAATGTGATAGTAATTTAGTATTTTTCACGAATTCAGCTCTGATTACTCCTAATTCCCACAACATTGGAACATCAAAGCTTAAAATATTTTTTAGGGTTTTGTGGAAATTGCTTAAGCAATGCCATACCAATTACCAAATTAACAAAGACTGAGATTGATAATCAAAGAATGAGCACTCACGGGATAAGAAACACCGACTGCGTCGCTGATTAGAGAATTCGATTTCTCACATACCCTGCGAGGAAACAAACAATCAAACAGAAGAACATATCCAAAATTAGGGTTTTGAGGAAGATAAATTGGAGAATGAAAATCGAATTGGTTGCTGGGTATATAGTTCTTACCTTAAGGGCTGTTTGGAGAGAGGGCATACCAGTATTTCTGAGAGGGTTTTGCTGATTCCAACCACTCCATCTCGCAGAAGAACTATAGTCACTCTCACCATTTTTGCTGTCACTTTGTCTTCCAATTTTTGGGTTTTATAGTTTTGCTTATTTAACTATGGGTTAATTGCGTGAAACTCCTTAAACTATATAAAATTTGAATATCACTATTCACTAAGTTTTAGTAAATAATCACCCTATAATACTACAAATGTTACAAAACAACCCTTCCTTCAAGTTAGCTTTAAGGTATTCAAACCATATAAAATTTGAATATCACTTATTTATTAAGTACCAAAGAGATACTAATGTTACTTCCTCAACTCTTAAAATAGAAAATTAAGGTTTAAATCTGCAAAAAGATAATAGTTAGCATTAAGACATTGCGACTTTTGAAAAAATCTTTATTTATGTCCGTCCAATTTTCTGAATTATAAAAGTTTGCATGTTACACTTACTTGAAGAGTAAAATGCAAATTCCTTTTAGCTCGATAGGTGTTATGCGGTTAAACTTGAGAACAATTAGCAATTTTGAAAAGTATTCACTTAATGATTGATTAAGTTGTTGCCATTGTTTTTAAGCTTTCAATTAGCCATTCTTCCGATATTAAAATGTATGTACAAGAATAATATTATTTTGAGGATAGAATAAGTATTTGCCGGTGAAGACTATTGTCCTTTACCTTATATTTAAAAAATCATATAAATATAATACGTGTATGTACCAGATATAAAATTGAAACATTATATACAATTTTTTAATTTTATTTTTATTTTTTTTATCGAGAGTTAGTAATTAATAAAATTAGAAGGAAGGAATTGGTGACCTTTATCACTCGACAACACCGCCTATATACTCGTCCGACTATAAACTCGTATGGTATAATTATGAGTTGACTCCAATTTAAGATTGGCAGTTTGTATGAGCCTGTAAGTTTATTTTGGGCTTTTTTTAAAAATCCAAAACTGAAGAAGCACACTTTTACGCCCCAGTACCCCCCTACTGGGCTTCACAAAGGAATAGAGAATTGCAGTTCCTCCGATTAGAGAGAGAGAGATGAACGTTAATGGCGGAACCAGTATCGAGCTCAAAACGACATCGTCAAACCCAACTCGCAGATGAATGGCAAGAGTCTCCATGCGAGAACTCCTACGTCTCAGAAGCTCCTTTCTCTCTCATCCGACTCCAATCCCCTCCAAACCCAACCTCTCCATTTCATCTCCATACACTTCTTTTCCTTCCTCAGAGTTCACTTTCGACAAACGAAGATCCATCCCCAGTCACCAAACCCTAAACCTCTTCGAAACATGCTACAATCAAAGGCAACTCTATCAAATCCAAGCCCAGTTGATATCTTCCGGTCTCTTCCAAAACCCATCTCTCGCCGGCAGAGTTCTCAGGTATTCGACACAATTTGGTAGTATTGATTACACGATCCTAATTTTTAGGTGCATTGAATCGCCTGATGCGTTTTGTGTTAATACTGTTATCAAGGCCTATGCTTGTAGTGGTGTTCCACACCAAGCTGTGGTGTTGTATTTTGAAATGCTGAGAAATGGGTTTTTTCCCAATAGTTTTACTTTCCCACCGCTTATTAGTTCTTGCGCGAAGATGGGTTGCTCCAAATCGGGACGAAAATGTCATGGGCAGGCGGTTAAGAATGGCGTTGATGGCGTTTTACCTGTACAGAACTCTTTGATTCATCTGTATGCTTGTTGTGGGCTTATTGATGTTGCTTGGCAGGTTTTTGAAGAAATGCCTGATAGGGACTTGGTGTCGTGGAATTCGATTATTGATGGATTTGCTAAGTTTGGTAATATGGATGCAGCACATAAGTTGTTTGATGTAATGTCTAAGAAGAATATGATTTCTTGGAATGTTATGATTACCGGGTATCTGAATGCTGGAAATCCTGGTTGTGGGTTGAAGTTGTTTAGGGAAATGGTGAAAACGGGATTGAGAGGCAGCGACACTACTATTGTGAGTTTGCTAACTGCTTGTGGTAGGTCAGCCAGACTGAAGGAAGGAAGATCAGTTCATGGGTCTTTTATCAGGACAATTTTTAGTTCAAGTTTGATTATAGACACAGCTTTGATAAATATGTACAGTAAATGTGGAAGGCTAGACGTTGCTCGAATAATTTTTGATAGGATGTTAGTGAGGAATTTGGTTTGTTGGAATGCAATGATTTTAGGGCATTGCATTCATGGGAATCCAAAAGATGGCCTTGATCTATATGCAGAGATAGTGGGCATCGCTAGATTGGAAGATGGAGAAATCAATTTTGACAAGAATATAAAGCGAGAACAAGGACAGAGAATTATCCCAGATGAAATAACCTTCATTGGTGTTTTATGTGCTTGTGCTCGAGCAGGGTTGTTGATGGAGGGGAGAAAGCACTTCAGCGAAATGATTGATACATTCAGAATTAAAGCCAATTTTGCACATTGTTGGTGCATGGCTAATCTCTTTGTCGGTGTTGGTCTAATGCAAGAGGCAGAGGAAGTCTTGAGGAATGTTCCCATTGATGATGTGTCAGCAGACTCTTCATTGTGGGCTGGTTTGCTTGGTTCTTGCCGTTTCCAAGGGAACGTGCTTTTGGGAGAACGAATCGCAAAAGCTTTAATTGAATTGGAGCCACATAATTTCTTCTGTTATGCATTGCTGTTGAATGTCTATGCTGCAGCTGGTCAATGGGAACATGTTGCAAGGATGAAGGAGATGATGAAGGAGACAGGGGTCAGAAGAATGCCAGGTTGTAGTCTTGTAGATTTGAAAGAAATTGTTCATGACTTCAAAATGGGGGATAAATGTAGACTGGGTATGCAGGAGGCTGAAATGATGGCAGGTGAACTAGCACAGAGATTTGGCTTTTGACCACTAATTCTCAACAACCACCATTGCACTAGAGGGAAGTTTCTGGTTCACTTCCTCATGTTGTTGTTTTAGTTCTAAAGAGTGTTTTGACGGAACAGAATATATGCAGTCAATCATGGAATTACGGAATAAGGTTTGTCTGAAGAGGATTATGTTGATTACAATGAATCAAATTGAGTCTTTTTAATGACAATCTTAGTTTGGTGGAAGCACTAGAGGGGTTTGAAATAAGTTTCACAATGGAGATGATGGAAGTCATTGTTTTTTTACCCCAAGTGTTGTTCCATGCAGAATGCTGGCACACTGATAGACTTGACAGATTTGAGGACTATTTGTCAGCAACTGATTCATACTGCTGCAGCCTGCTCCACAAGATGGAAACTGGGGTATGCCAGTCTTTTTTATACAAACTGTAACAGTTTTTTTTTTTTTTTTTTTTTCCAGACCAGTTTTGCGCTGATTGCATTCTAGTTGGTAGATAATAAATGTTCTTGATTTGTCAAGCTCAACATCTGATTTATAGCAAATTTTATTTACTTCATCGATCTTTTTTTTTTTTTTTTTGGGTTCTGAAGGTTAAGACGAGACTTGGACGCGAGTGACAGACGTAATTTACTGAGGAAGCTGGCATCCCACAGAGCCATATCACGGTTTCTAAACATCCTAGTCATACCTGGAAAACCCAATATGATTCATATGACATTGTGTAGTTTGAGTGTTATGCTGTTGCACATCAAAGATCTCTATAGAAGATTTTAAGCGATTCGTTCCCCTAAAATTTTTCCTAAGGTGATGTGCCATGTAGAAAATGAGCCAAGCTGACTATCAGACTATGGGTATGAATTTGTGTGGAAGATGGTTACTCTTCAACACATGCCCTATAGGCATGTTTGGCGCAAGGAAGAGAGCAAATTCCTTGTTAGAATTTCCAAGCATGCCATCCCAATAGCTTATATGGATATTTTAAAACAGATTACATTTCTGAATATGCCCCTTTGAGTAGACAATTCTCCCCCCTAGTGTCTGTGAGCTTATTCTGCAGAACTAGTAGTGGAGAGAGTTGAAGCACAAGACCACGAGAAACCAAGTTGCATGAGTTGGTCCATCTGACTTCCCCAGCCTGTGATCAGTGGACAGAATGCTGCTACAGCTTGTCATCTTTAATTCTTGGTTTCTATTTTTTCCTTTTTCAGGTCGTCCAGCATTTGGTATTCCTTCATTTTTTTTTTTTTTTGGGTTACAAGAGGCGAAGGAAATCATGAGAAATATGCTCAAGAATGGTTGATTGTTGTTATTGAAAAAGTTGTTTACCCGTTGGCTTGTTCAGCACCATGTCCAAGTGGATCTCCGAATTTCTTGTCTTAGAGCGATTTATTATAATTTTTTTAAGAAATTATTTGCCAACTTGTAGGTAAATGTTGATGCAAAACAGTCAAAATGAAGACGGATGAACTGGTGCAGGGATTAAATTCGTTGCGCATTGGGTTACAACAGCCACTAAATTCATTTTACCTGATTATGCTGGATGTTGTGGTATGTATATTTTCACTTCTCAATTGCCTACAAAATATGCTAGAAGGGTTGTGAATGGCGGCATTCATACCTGGTGTCCTCAACAAACGTGTCATTTTAAGGTCTGGCTGATGAGCCAAAATAATGAACTGCAAAGTTTAGTGCTTGAAGACAAAATTCTAGTCTAATGGGAAGAATTTGGAAATGAAATAGAACCCAGAATAACACCGAATAAAAGCTGTTAAACACAGTAGGGTTAGTTCTATTATGACCTAGAGGTCACGGAGAATCTCGTGTACTAGGTTATAGGCATGTTTGGCGCACGAAAGAGAGCAAATTACTTGTTAGAATTCCCAAGCTTACCATCTCAATAGGTTGTACGGATATTTTAGAACGGATTACATTTCTGAATATGCCCCTTCGAGTAGACACTTCTTCCACCCTAGCGTCTGTGAGCTAATTCTGCAGAACTATTGGATAGAGTTCAAGCACAAGACCACGAGAATCCAAGCTTCATGAGAGTATTAATCCATTTGAAGGACTGGAGTCAAGTCCAATGAACATTATCTTCATTCATAATTCATGTGCTTGTGCTCTTGCAGGGCTTTTTGACAGACGGGAGAGAGTACCACAGCCAATTCTCAAGAACGTGAGAACTCCGTTACTTTCATATTTACATACATACATACATACATATATATATATAGATCTGTGTGCATATGTATGTATGTATGTAAGTATTCCTAGAGCTATTTGGCTTGCTCAGTGGGATATCGAAACAGAGAAATCTAGTAGTATCTCACAAAGCCAATGTTTGAATTTCCTCGATAATCTCCAGTTCATTTTTTTTAGGCCATTGCATAGGATGTCTCACTTCCTATCTTTTGCCTTGGCTCTGTAGACAAGCAATGGCTTTTGGAGGAGCAGAATCGTGTCCTATAAAGAGAGAGCCTGATCTAGAGGCCACCCATAGTGACGACGCAAAGGCGGCAAAGGAAATCACGAGACGTAATACCACACAGTGACAGAAAATCCATTAATAAATATAAATACCACACACAATAAAATTGAAGATTATCCAAAGTCACACAATCCTTTTAAGGAGGTGCCGTTCTCACGCTCTGCACGCTAATTGGCGCTCTGGAGAAGAAATTCTTTCATAATTCGCAAATTCAATTATGTAAATTCACGAATTCAATTTGTGAATCCTCGAATTCACAACAATTTTTCATTCGAGAAATTATGAACAACTAGGTGTGACATTTGTTATCGAAGGTAGTTTTCAAAAATGTTCCTAATGCTGAATAAAAACAGTTAGAAATGTATAAAACTAAGAATAAACCTGCAATATGAAAAGGGAATAATAAATTCTTGGTTCATTGTATATTCATCACTTTTATTTCATTATTTAAATTAAAAAATATTAAAAATATTAAATGTGTGTATAGTGATTGTATAGACATATATTTGCAGACAAAGTATTCAAATACTTTTTAGTTTTACTTTATTTTTAGTTAAGACTCTTAATCTTTTATAATTCTTTAAAGTATTCATTTCATGTACAAAAACGTACCTAAAATAAATATATAGATTTATGAGGTTACATTACTTTACAAATAAAAAATATGTTATAATTTTTTATATATATTAATTATTATTAATAATATGTATCTCCTAATAGCATATAAATGTACAAGCGCACTGGAGATATTCCCGCACTTTAACCAAATTTTATATTTTATCGAATTCGTGTTCCCGCTCTCGCCCGTTTTCCCGTTGATGTTTCTCCTTGTGAATGTGCATATTTTGACATCCCTTCACAATGGATTCCATTGTAAAATGTCAATTAAAGGACAAAAAACACATAAAATACTTTAGAATGTGTAATATTATGCCGGATTGTCTACATAACTCGAATCTGTTTTACAAATATAATAATGAATGTACTTTATTGAATAAACTGGTAACTTGTAAATTATCTCCACAATTCTTTCAAATCATTTTATAACACAATTTTAAGAATTATCTTGACCGTTAGGTCGTAAATCGTAAGCACTTTTCTAGATTGTAATACTTTGTTGTAAGAATAATGTGAGAGCTTGTAGATTATTCGTTTGAAGTATGAAAATTATCTTAGTTCAGGGGTTATAATATTTAAATAAGAGAAAATATAATTAAAAACAATTTAATAAGAAATGACAAATTTAATAACAAAAGGTAAAATAGTCTTTTGTGATTGATTTTGTCCTTAATTACAACAAATCAATAGTTTTAGGGGATAATCTTAGTTAAGGGGTTAGTTGCAAAAAGTCAATAATTCATGAGGATTTTTTTGCACTTTACCCAATTTTTTAAAAATAACATTGAAAGGGTTACACTTAAGCCTTTATGAAGACCAATTCCTAAAATCTTATACCTTTAGAATTTACAAACCCTTATAAGGAAATCATGTCATCTGAACATGTCTAGAATGACTCCTATCAAATTTTATGTGATGTTTGGAAATATCTTACTTTAAGAAACTTTATTTTCTTGAAAAATATTATTTTTAGAAATTAAAGATTCCAAGATAAATGTTTATTTAAAAATAAAAAATAGGATTCTAAACAAAAGATTGTTAAGTTAAAATTATTATTTATGAAATATGCCGCCAAAGAATATTATTATTTTCGACAAACATGATTAATCGATTTAGAAAATATGATTTCAAGCAACACTACTTTTTAAAAGACAAAAAGATATTTTAGAAAATACGATTCTGAATAGAATTCCTTTTAGAAGATAATTATTCTAAGAAAAATGATTTCAAACACCTTTTTTACACAGTCGTATGTATATTATATTCTAAAAGCACATACTAAAAAAAAGGGGCATGAAACAAGGCTTGATTAAAAATACAAATTGATATAATCGCCCTAAAATAAAAATGTTAATTCTGTAAAATAATGAAGCCCTTTTAGTTGAAGCACTTTTATAATGTTTAAATACTAATAATATTATTATTTAATCTCCAACAGTCTTATTGTTAAGAAACTGATTTTTATTTTATTTTTATTATTAACAAAATAATAATGATGTTAAAAATCTTATTTAAAGTCATCAATTAGTTATTTGCACCATGCTAGTTATACAAAAGAGTCACATCTTATACTATCAAATAATCATAATATCAAAATTATTTAAAGCTATAGCCTGACTAAAATGCTATAATATGAACGTATGTACACAGTACACTACTTGCTTACAAATGAACTTAAAAGGTTTTTAGGCATAATCTGTAGCTTACATGATTAACATTTATTTTGACATCCCTTAAGAACTGCAGTTTATGATGATGCAAATAAAGGCACGCAAATAAATGAATTGATGGTAAGATAAGAAAATTAAAAATATAAATAAAAGTCTGGAAAAATACATTTGGTGCTTCTTGGTTTTTAACGAGGTTGTTGGGTATTGATTTGGCTCCACTTTGGACGTTGGATTCTCAGCTTCTATTGTATGCATGTAGCCTGTTGAGGCTATATCAAAATATGGGGCTCGGATAACCTTTATTTATGTTTGGATAAATTATGAAAAAAAAAGAGAGGAAATAATAGTATTTTTGTTTTTGAAAAAAAAAATTATTATCATAACTTTTTTATAAAATGTTATAAGATGAAGACAAATGTTATAAGAGGGTAATTTCGGAATTATGAAAATATTACTTACTCATTATCCTTTCCTTCCAAATCTCTTCCATCCTTTCTTTTCTCTCCAATAAAAGTTATCCAAACACGATTTTCACTATTCTTTCTTTTCTTTCCTTTCCAAATCCCCACAAATCACTCAATCCAAATGAAGTTTTGGTTCAATGGAAAAGAGAAGAAATGATAAAAAAATTAGTTTGGAGAAAAAAGAAAAGAAAGGAAATGAGATAATATTATTAACAGCTTATAGCTTGTTGGGTTGATTAATAAAAAAAAATGATTGTAATCATGTTTGGAAAAAAAAAAAGAAAATGAAATCATTACCATTTTCTATACATTTTGTCTTTTATAAAAATAAGGGTAAATTTAGTATTAACAAAGTTTCATTAAAAAATAATAATTTTTTCTTTTCATTTCCTCTAATTTTTTGAATGATAACAAAACCAACACCTCATATATAATTTGCTTCCTTCCAAATCCCTCCATTTATTCCTGAATTTGGGAAATTTTATAGGTACAAAATAAACAATAAAGTTCATGAGAATAGTGGTCTAAAACTAAAAGCCACTCAAAAAGAACATAAAGAATGTGACCGTAATCAATCCCCTGACTGAAAGACCGCTCATTACATGGAAGATATGAAAACTAGAAAATCTGAAAGAGAGATGCCTAAAGAGGAAAGACTCTCTAGACAGGCTTCTGTTGCAACCTCAGTTGCGTTGGATGAGATCCCTCCCTGAACAACTTTGTTGCTGTTTATTCCAGTTACACCAAACAATGGAAGTAAAAAAGTATCTACCTAATTTGTGTTTGGTATTAGAGCTATGACAGCAACTGCACCAACCAATCCAGCAAATGAAGACACTCTTTGAATAAACCAGCACCAGACGTGTTGGGCAAAAGAGCAAGACCAGAATAAATGCTTAGTGCCTGAGACAAAATTCTAGTCTAATAGGAAGAATTTGGAAATCAAACAGAACACAGCTTAAAGCCAAGCAAACACCGACACTCACTATAGAGCTCGAACACTCAACCTTGCCAATGGGAAAGAGAGCTTAGACAAGATCCCCCAATGGGGAAGGAGAGCTTATACCATCTAGACTAGAGCTCATTGGTAACATCATTCAATCTTTTCATTTTAAACTGAAAGGTACCAACACTTGTTCAAACCCCACCTAACCAGATGAAAAACAACTATCAATAAACTCACTGAAAGTCAAAAACAATAGTTCTAAACAACAATGTAGCTTCAACAAGCAGGCTTTCGAATAGCTCATACTCGAAAATTCCTGCACAAAGCAGTTCACCCAAAGATAATTGGACGCATCAGCAAAGGTGCAATCAAGCATTACTTCTGTTAACTATATGCACTAATACACGGGAAACAAGGGTGGTGACAGTAAGCAGAGTCCCAATCGCCACCAACAAAATCAACAGAATCAAGCTATAATTAACACTTCAAAGAGCTCCTATCATAGAATACTTGAATCAGAGAAATAAGAAAGGTATTAGAGTACTTGAGACTGGATTACACAATCCATCCTAGTAGGTTTCTGATTCCTTTCAACTTTACAACAATACACACTTCCTTTTCTTACTCAAATGCCCACTGGTTCTCCCTGCGAACCAACCTCTTCCTCTTCTTCAAGAGTGAAGTCATTCTTGATGTTGCATGTCTTGCGTATCTCTTCAGTGGTCTTTCCTCTTATCATGTCTGCAATTGTCTTGCATGTAAGATCCAGCAAGCTCTTGATGTTCAGATAATTTGCAGCCTGTTGAGAACAAATAAAAAATACGGAAAAAAAAAGTATATATTAGAACGAGCCAATGAAAACAGAATATGGCCGCGATGTTTAAATCATAACCAGAATCAGTGATAGAAAATCCAGTAATACCACACTATCAAATTGAGGATTACCTCAATAAAAGGCCAAAAGCATCGTTTTACATGGTATCAGATATGTGCAAATAACGGTAATATAGACAAACCTGATAAAATAATATAAGAATACACAACCATCTAGCAAGCCTAAACTACTTTATCTGACCAAGGCTACCCCATAATCTAGCTAAGATATCTAGCAGAGGTGCTTTTTGAAGGTTTTTTTTTTTACCATAAAGTTGATGCTGTAAAAGCAAATAATCAATAATATTTGATGTTTCTCACAGTGAATGCACATATTTTAATATTTCTCACAATTCCATTGTGAAATGTCAATTTACATAACCGAGCACAAGAAAATGAAACTAATCTATAAATGGGAGAGGAAAAGCAGCATATAAGATAACTGTCCTGCCATGGAAAGGTTATGCCACACAGACGCTATGTAGATGCACAGAAAGATGACGAATGACCGATGATGACATGGATCAAGCTTCACTTTCTAAAATACACTTGTGTAGATATGCAATAGACTTCTCTAGAATTGCGAGGTAGCTTGTAAATATCAGATTATTCTTTTGGAATATTCTATAATACAATTTTAGAATTCCCTTGACCATTAGATCATAAACACTTGTCTAAAACGTAATCATTCGTTGTAAGAATGGTGTGGTAACTTATAGATTATTCAGATTATTTTAAAACCCAACTAATGGTTAGATCCTAAACACTGGTACAAATTGTAGTTGTTGATTGAGCTGAGAAAAGCTGAAAAATATTTAT